AAAAATGATTTTAAAATGTACATAAACACCCCACTTTAGATTTAAAGTGTTTTACTTTAATTCGGCTGTAACTAGGTTTTAAAAAATAACCAACTTTAATCAGTTATCAGGGTATTTTTATTGGTTGCCTCGCGTCGTTAATGAGCCTCAGTGGAGGCAGAGCCGCTAAGATGCGGAGGGGAGCGATTAAAAAAGTACATTTTGTTCCAAAGAAAAGCGGCTTGACAGACTGAAAGATGCCGAACTGTTCACCGACCCATGCCGGGTCAGACCCTCCGCCTGCAGCGGCTGTGCTGCCATGATTTCCCCGTTTTTTTTTTTACCTTGGTTGAGACGATACAGATGCAGTCCATCGTTCCGAGGCAGCGGGGAGGCAACACCCCGGCAGCGTCAGCATCTCATCCCGCGTGTTTCCTCCACAGACGCCGCTAAGTCCACGCAGACCGACCGACCGGCTGCCGCTGCCACTTCTACCCGAGTAAGAGTGGTTTCTCACCGGTGAGGCAGCTCCTCCCTCCCCCCGGTCCGCCCTCAGCCCGGTCCGGACCTGAACCTCTCACACTCCCGCTCCTCAACACAGAGGATGCGTTCAAGTACCGCCGCAAAGCTCGGATTTCTCTGAATTTACAAACGGGCAGAAAAGCTGGAGATCTTAAGGGATAGATCATTTCAAAGTTTCATGTATTTCATAGAAAAGATTTTATTTTAGACAAAACACTTGAACCAACTAGGTGGAGAGTCCAGGAAGACCAAGAACTGGATCCCTCCGGACCCAGGAACTCTTTCCATTACAATCTCGATCGTTTATGGGAAGAGGAAGCTCTGAACGTAACAGGGAGGGAAAAAATAAAAGTAAAATAAAATCACTAAACGATGATCTGATGGATGAACTGTAAAATCCAGAGTTCTGCGACAGGCAGAGCCTATCTAACGTCACTCTGCTCCCGCCTTGTTCTGGACCAGAGTGCTTCATATTTAAACACACACTAACTGCCTGGGAAAAACATGTATGATGACTCAACGCCAAATGGCTGAGGAGGAGGAGGAGGATGAAGAGCGTGAGCAGAACAAGCTGTGTGGGCAGGAGACTCAAGTCCCAATCTTTCACACTTCCATGAATCCGTCATGTGGTCGCCCAGGGTGCGTGTGTCATCATCATCATCATCATATGGTGTGTTACATGGCTTCGTTACCAGCAGCACACAGGAAGTGATGTCAGCGGTGTCCCAGGTGTACCTGTCCGCTGCTCTGCTGCAGCTTTATTGAAATATTGGAAGAAATAAACCTTCAGTGTGATTTAAACCTTTGATACGAGCTCCTCAGAACATCAGGAACATTTTGAACCCGGTTCTCAGAACTCAGCAGAATGTCAAAGACTTTTGTATTCATCTTTCAGTCGACTGCGTCACACAAACAGAAGATAAAGATATAATGGTGTTCGGTTCTGATGCGGCGTTCTGAGGTTTTACATCCCACAAGTCACCAGTTGTTGATGTAAAACAGGAGGAAAGAACAGAAGGTGTAAACACTGCAGCCTCGACTCCTCAACCACGGCCCGGGTCCATCTACACCTTATGGACAGAGGACACTCTTTGGAGGACCAGAATGTTCCCATTTTGGACATTTTGGGCTACTGTATAAGTCTAGAACTCAAGGCCATTTCTGACATTGTGAATAGAAAAAGCTTCCTGGATGGAAGAGAAACGTCTTCAAACTTGGAAACATAGTCCTCACAAATGATTTAAACTTTTTTTGGAATGACTATGACGTGGATGACTGAGAATCATCACCAGCAGATGCCTCCTCATAAGAGACAGAGCAGAAGGTTAAATGGACCGGTTTGTCTCCAAATGGACAATGTCCCTCAGCTAACCTCAAAAGAGGCCATCATGGAGTTTGATCTGAGCCAAGGAGCAAATTATCGGTCTCAGGGAGACAGAGAGCAAACCTGACCCAGTTCTGCCGGTTTTGATATGAAGCATGGGCCAAAATTACAGCTAACTGTTGAGAGAAGGAAACCCAAATGTTTGAGGTTCTGGTATTTGAAGTTTTCTAAAGGTTAGAACAGGTGACGGTTGGAAGCCCAGACGGGTCTGTCCAGAACCACGGCCCGGGTCTTTTAAAGCAATTCTGGACCTAAAGAGAGACCTGAGCAGCTCCTGTTCTCAGCATAGTGGAACCTGGAGCTGCGCTTTGTTGGTCGCTGGAACCAACAGACCAAATGTCAGGCAGTGATGTCTCTGGAGGTTAAATGAAGCGCTAATGACAGAATAACCTGACCGGATTCTGTCAAAACCTTTATGAAACCAGAAGCTCAGAGGAAACATTTCTGGTCCTGGTTCAATATTTATTAATAAATAAAAAAAAAAACACACAATTCAACAGTTTAAAAAGAATCTCAGACCATCTACTGTAGCCGGACCTCTAGACAGTAGACAGTCTGGTTCTAATGGTCCAAAACCCATCAAAGAATCCCAGTTTCCTTTTTTGTAAGGCAGAGCTTGACCTTTAACACCCGCCCATCAGAACCAGTAAAGCTTCAAACATTGAACAGATGAGAGGATGGCTGATGTTTCTGCAGAGCAACACAACTGAAAATCCACACCAACCCAACCACCACCATGGATGCAGGTCCTGAACACCAGTACAACTCCAGTCGGTCCCACAGTCGGCCAACATCTGCGGCGCTGGGAAACAGAAACTAGATGAGGAGGGGGGCTCCAGGGTCAGGCCAGCTCAGGGTCTGTTTTCATCTTGATGGGTTTATAAATCGGTCGGCAAGCGGACAGTAATATCCAGTTTGATGCAACCTGCAGGAGTTCATCCTGATTGGTTGGTAGTTCTCTCTGCAGATTTCTCTATATACCATCTACTGCATAATGCTGCGTGTTTTTTAGGGGTTCTACTGCCATTAAAAGGCATTTTCTATTATTATCTAATATGTTCTGAGCATAACTTTGGTTCTTGAGGAAAACATCTTCCTAAATAAAGCAGTTAAATAAAGTTGAGGACTTCCTTGTTTTAGCAGGTTTTGAAGATCATCTCTTAAACAAACGGCCTGATCTTCATCTCAGCCAATCAGCTGTGAGCACCTCACTTTGTTTCAGGAAGTTCTGTCACATAGACTCCCAGATTGCATGTTTGGATACTCTCCCTGACTTTGGAACTACAGTACCGCTACACAAACGACTGTGGCTATCTCTATTCTCCCACTCTGCAGAATCTGTTAGTTCAATCTCAACGTTCTGCTCTCCGTTTTTCTCATAGTAGCTTCATCTGGTCTGTTCCTGTTTGGCTATGACTCCATCCTGGAGAGAAATATCAGCTGTGCTGCTGCCATCAACACCTTTGTTTATAGATGTTGGTGCTCGGCCTGTTTTCCAGTGTAGTCCTGTTTCTCTTAGTGTGACTGGCTGGATATGTTCTCTTCATCCTCTGACATGGGAGCTGGCTCGGAGCTCGTCTGCCTGGCTGTGTGTTTCCTGGACGGGGCCGCCTGTGGAGCTGGTCGACAGTTGCCTTTTGTATCTATGCTTCTTTTTCTATGTCTGCTTCTGTCTCCTTGAACCCCGGTCGGCCTCAGCAGATGGCCGCTCACACTGAGCCTGGTTCTGCTGGAGGTTTCTTCCTGTTTAAAGGGAGTTTTCCTCTCCACTGTCACTACAAGCATGCTTAGTGTGAGAGATTAACGACCATCCTAAAGTGTAAATGTAATCGTAACTTCGTTCCAAAGTAACCAATAACTTTCTGGACTTGTGTGGGTATGTTTTTTTTGTTTCTTTTCCTCAGTTAGTGGTTTTTATTTTTATTGTTATATTTGTAAGAGTATATATTTTCTTAATTAATTTGTTAATATACCGTTACTTCATATTCTTGGGTACGATTTACGAATGTTGCATTCTAATATCTTAACATATATATATTAAAAAGGAAGTTCTGTCCAATGAGTTTGGAGAATTTTACTAGAACTTCCAGAGCACCAACAGATGTGGCAGTGGTTGAGGCCCACACCATGATACTGCCTAGACCATTTTTAGGATTTTTTTCCTGGTTCTGATCCGTTAGAGAGGTGACACCATAGAGATGGTTCTGGGAGCAGCAGTGGAGCTCTTCTCTGTGGGATTCCACAACCAACCCAGACAGCTGACTGGGGCTTATTATCCTCATGAACCATCGTCTTAGTGAACTTTGTCCTCATGTCTTCTTGACCTTAATCCTCTTAAACTTCGTCCCAAAGAGCATCGTCTTCTTGACCTTTGTCCTCGTGAAGAGCTACTGACTCCATATGCAGAGGCATCCAGGGAGTCAAAGGAACGAGACTTTAAATAAAACCTAAAACCTTCACTCATTTTAGACTGAAGAACTGAGAAGAAAGTCTGTCCTAAACATTTTTATGTGTTTATTAAATAAAAAAGGTTTTCAATACTTTGTTTTGAAGTAAGTTCGCAAAAACAAGCATATTTCACTTCATTTATATTAGGTTATAGAAAAAGTTCTAAGGAAAGAAATCTCCGCCATGTTGGAAGTTTGGCTTTTCCTCCTGGGTTGCCATGGTTACTATCATTTTAGGGCAGTCCTCTCATTTCCCCTCCCACTGACGGACTCAGAACCATGAGCGCCTCCCTCTGGACCCACCGGAGGTGTACTGTTCAGACCCAACAACATGAACCAAAACGAATGAAGCGTGATGAACCATGAGACCTGAACGCCTCACAAACCGCCTAAACATGTCACTGATGGTTTAACGCCACAACATCCAGAACATTCCGTGAAACCAGAGAGGCGGTCCAGTTCGACTCGGTTCTGGTTTCACTCCTGTTCAGATTCTGCTGTGATCAAACTACAGCGACGCACTGAGGCCGTCTGACCCTGGACCCACACCCCGCCCCGCCCCGCCCCGCCCGTCTGATGGTCCAAAGCACACGAGGACTGGATGGGACATGCGGCGAAGGTGGACAACACCGACACCCCCCCACCAACAGCAGAGCTCCGGTACTTACTTGTCCGTCATGGCAGGGGGAGAGTTTGGCCTGCGCCAACGTGTGCAGGATTTCGTTAAGGAGGGGGGACTCCTACGAGGGACGGAGTTCGTTTACAGACGGACAAAAGAGGAAAGAGAAAGACAGCATTCAATGACAGAACAAGCTGAAAGAGGACCTGAACCTCCAGTCAGGAGCCAGCAGATAAACACTTCAGCCGTTTGACTTTGATGAAACTCTTTTATTGTTCAGAGTAATGCATCACCAGCAGTGTGGGTACCAGATCTGCTCGGGCCATCAACACGCCAATGTTACGCTACATGATTGGCTGAACGTTGCCACATGATGTAAATCATTGTGGTTGCCAAGACAACCATAATAACATCACACAGTGTCCATGAGCCGAGTCGGTAGCATCTGTAGCGTTAGCGTGTCTGATGACCGATGAAGTTTTACCTTATTGAGAAGTAACCGTTAGACCATGATATAAGAGGGGGAGAGATGGGTAGAGCTGTGGCTAGCTGTGCTAAGCTAGCCACAGCTCTGACTTTGTGACTTTTGTGAGAAAAGTTTGATGCTTTTCCTTAAGCTGCTTCTCTGACGTCATCATTGTAGATGCTCGGAGCAGTCCAGCAAAATATGATTAAACCATGTTTATCTGAGGTTTACTCGTTTCTTCCTTAAGTTTATGCACTATATATACCGTAAGGTTAACATAAGAGAAAAACATAAAACTCAAAAAGACTAGATTTATATTTAAATCCAAAGCCGAAGAAGTTAGCTCCCATGAGTAGCATAGAGAACATCCCATTTCCTGTGCAGATCAGGAACAGAGCGATAAAACAGAAAGGTATTCATAAATTTTCTCAAGAAATACATTATTAACCTTTAAAACATTATATTATAGTACGCTTCCTATTTTTAGGGGAGGGAAGAATGTCATTTAGGTCATTTTAACAAAATAAAATCGAGGGTGACCCAGATGGATATTTTGATGCACAAATGAGCTGATGGTGCATGCGCAGGAAGGATCGTCCCTCCAGGACGGATCAGGCAGAGACAATCAGATCTGGTACCTACACCGGACATCATCTGGTTTTATTCTTGTCCAAGAACTCATTTTATTTGAATTCAAGAATAAAAAAAAAAAACACACTTTGATTGAAACACCCATAGGTAATATATCCTAAACAATGATGGGGAAACAGGTGTACCCCAAGGCTAAGTGTTTGGCCCACTGCTTTTTCTGACGTCTATAAGTGACTTCCACTCATCATGTATTGCTGCTTGTGTTTCTATGTATGCAGATGACACAGTTACATATTTAACAGATGAAAACCACTGGACAGAGAACCTGTGTGAGAATCTATATGTTCTATTTCATCCCTACTGACCGCCAGAGGCGGTGCTTCAAGCACCGCCTCTGGCGGTCATCCGGGATTCATAGAACCGTAGTTACGGTAGTAACTTTCGTTCTACAGCAGCACAGTTTGAGGAGGCATTTTAACCCCCGAGCATATATACCAGCATATATTTTAATTTCAGTGGTGAAATCCATCAGACTGACGTTGTGATTTACAGTTTTTCATCAAGGTAGGTGAAGCTGCAAAGATAAAGCTAAACCTAATGAGAGACTAGCAACTAGGACTGAACGATTAATTGCATTTGTAATAATATCACAATAGGGTAAAACAAGATCACGTCACGGGTCACGTGATCGGAGGTGACCTGCTAGCAAAGTAGCATGGAGGGAAAATCGATACTCATATGCGAGTTACCCGCTGAACAATGGCATCAGACTCAATAAAAACTGACACAACTGAAGGTCTGGCACCAAACAGGAGCTTGTGTGGAATTTTCTACACAAGCTCGTCACTTTCACTTGTTTGTAATTATTTTGGGTTAAAAAAAAAGACGACGCTGGGCAATGCCAGGTGTTGCGTAGGACATGCCTGGCTATTTCTGCTACCTCATAACTAACCTTTATCAACATTTATAAAACCACCACAGACACAAGACGAATGTCTTCCTTCAACTGGTTGAAAAAAAGACATTTAATCAATGAACTTTTCCGGTATGTGTGATGCAGCTGACTGGAGATCAGTTCATATTATTTTATGTATTTATTTATGGACTGTCAAGTTAAGGTTTAAGGTTTTATTAAAGTCCTCATTAACATGCAGAGGTTATAAATAACTAGGTGCTCAGCATGGTTCATTAATAATAACCAGATTGATGGTTTGTGAGTAAAAAAGGACAAACTTTAACAGAGAACATCTGGAGAACAGCTGGTTAAGGTCGTGTCTAGATGGAGAAAGAATCTCCACATAAAGAAGATGTTTAAAATAAGGAATATCTGCTTTAAATAATTAGTCTGACCAAACAGAAAAAGTAAGAATATTATCAACCTGTTCAGGAGAAAAAATCTAATTCAGGAGAACTGCTGATCAGTAAAGTCCAGCTGCTGCAGGGAACATCTGTCCAGCTGCAGAGCTGTCCAAAGGATTTCCATTTATTAATCAAGCAGAATATGAAGAAATCCTACAGTTTAAAAACACTTTTATAGAAGTCAGAGGAAAAACTTCAGCTTCTTACTCCAGTAAAAGTGTAAAACTAACATTTTTAAAAATACTTCAAGTACAAAAGTAAAATCAATGCAGGAAAAAAGCTTTACTGCTCTACCTTATTAAAGGAACATTTTTCTACAGTTCTGGATGAAAACTTTCTTAGACTTCATTTTAGTTTTATTACTAATGGTAACAGCGTCACATTTAGCTTTGCATCATCTGGAAAAATTATTTAAACTTATTTTGATGGTTTTTATTTTCTTTTAAATGCCAACAGGCCAAAGGAAACAAAATGAGTCTGTTTTGAAACATAATAATTAGAAAGTAAAACGCCATCTAAAAAAAATGGATTTTACAGCGAACCTGATCTAAAGTAAAAACTTTTTAAATTCTGTTTGTTTTAACAGGTTAATAAGATGATCTACTGAGGAAAGGACTGTTTCTTATCCCCAAAAAAGATAATCTGATAAAAAGCACTTGTTTTATCTTATTCTAAAATGTCCTTATTTTAAGATAAATTCCTATTTTGTAGTAAACCCAGAGGTCAGCGATCTTTACCCCGATCAGAACCTTAATCTCTGTCAAATAAAGCAACCCGAGTGGATCGGCTGCAAACAAAGAGTTAAAAATCCTCCCAGTTAAACCTTTAAATCCTCTCGCTGGGAAAAGAGCAAAGCAGATGACTGGTTTTCATCTCCCAGCAGCTCCACACATTAACGTTCCCTCCATTATCCCCCCCGGCTCCGCAGCAGAACCCCACACGGTTCTGAGCGTTCTCTGGTTCTGCAGCGTTCCTCAAACTTCTGATTTAAAACCCAATCCCACACCAACAGCTCCCAGATTCCCCATAATCCCATAAATTCCTCAAACAAGGGATTATGGAGGACTGGAAGCAGCTCCCTCATCCGCCAGCTCAGAGGTCGTGACAGGCCGTTTTCCTCCCTATCTAACTGGTTCTAATGGTCCGGTTCATCTGCTCACCCAGGCAGAAGAACCAGAACCGGTCTGTTGATGACAGACTGATCTGAGCTTCAGAACCGCCTCTTCATGTTAAACATCTTTATTCCATCACAACCATCCAGCTGATTCACTGATGCTCGGGTTAACAGATCCGTCCTAACTGGTTGGAGCCGGTTCTGCTCTGACAGCAGCAGAACGGAGCGGTTCTGTCGCGGCAGCATCAAAGGAGCGTTATTTTTAAACTCCTCTCATCTATTTTTATTGCTGCTATTTTTACCGCCCGCAGGACGCCTCCGTTTGTTCACGGGAGGACAAATGGAGGGAAGCGGAGCGGCGGCGGTGGAACCGGTCCAGACCGGTTCCCGGCACATCCTTACCTCGATGCTGGTGCTAAGGCTGGGCAGGGTCTCCGAGGTTCCGGTCGGGCTCTGGAGACTGGAGAAGTCCCACAGGTTGATGGGCACGCCGGGATCCGGCCCTTTGGAAGACTCCGCCCACCTCTGGCTGTCCAATAAGGTCACTTCGTAGAATTCCTGGATATCTGGGAGGACAGAGAGGAAATGATTGAAACAGGAATCAGGTCAGAGGTTCTACTGAACCCACAAACAAGCATTAATCTGTTGGTTCTGATCCTAAAGATCAAATCCAATCGGACCTGCCGCTACAGTCAAGGCTGGGAAAGTTCAGAACCTTCTTAACCCAGACTCTAACCCTTAGATCCATCCGCAGGATTTATCATCTTCATCAGGAGACATCGGAATATGAGCAGGATTCAGATTATTCAATCCTATTCAGGGATTATCACACTGAGAAAACAACAGAATCTAAACATGCTCCACCAAGATTAAACACCAATCTTATGCTGTTCTCTCAAACAGACTAAAGTCAACGTTCCAGGGCGTTTCTCACTATGTGCACTTGTGCGTCCTCGTGAAACGTCATCATCCTCAGCCCTAGTAGTGTTCCAATTCACAAGAACAGCAGACTGAGAACCAGGGCTAACGTTAGCCCATCTGCAGAATTCCCATTAAAACTCCAAACACTGGTAAAAAAAAAAAAAAAAAAAATCTCTTATCTAATATTTAATCTTATATTTAAAGTGTTAATTAGCTAAACTAGAAGGAGGGAAAGAAGGAAACAAGAAGGTAGGAAAGAACAGAGGACACTAGGAAGGAGGAAAGTCTTTGGGTCATGATGGAAGTTCTGACTATTTGGACCCAGATGCAGTTTTCTTCTCTAGCTGTGATCCAGAGTTTATTGTCTGACCCAGAACTACAGGTTTCTGTTATCAGAACACATTTAATGGACCCGGTCTGAGAAAGGCCAAAACCTTTTCCAGCTTCTGATGCAGGATGGGTGTTTTCACCTACAGGGGGCGATGCTGAGCAGGAGCTCCATTGCTCACTTCATTCCCCTGCAGAGGGAAGCTGAACTTCTCCATCCTGAGAGGTTTTCCATCTGAGGAGGCTTCCAGCTTCAGTTAATGAGGTTAAACCTGGAGGCAGGCCGTCAGGCTCTGGCTCCGCCCACTCTGACAGCTCTAACGAGCTTGTTAACGAGCTGCTGCCCGGGGTCACATTAACCAGCTAATCAGATCCATCAGGTTAATTTCTGACTCCTTACCCTCAGACTGCTGCTAACACTGATGCAGGACAAACAGAACCCTGATGGGTTCTGACCTGCAGCTGGACCAGGAATGCTGCAGGTTTTCTTCATCTGCAGCCATGATGATGATGATGATGATGATGATGATGATGATGATGATGATGATGATGATGATGATGATGATGATGATGATGATGATGATGATGATGATGATGATGATGATGATGATGATGATGATGATGATGATGATGCTGGGCTCCTTTAAAGGTGAGCCAGCAGCAGGAGGCCTGGTCCAACAGCGCCTGTATTTTTGGAGCGAGCGTCTAAAATAAGCGGCGGAGCAGCTGAGCGCCGCCCGAGCCGCTGCAGATGTTTCCTCATAAAGGATCAGAACTGTGACCGCTCTCCTCGCTCCAAACCACAGGCCAGACCTCCCTAACCTCCAGAACCACGGCTCCCTCAGCCCACAGGACTCGGAACCAGGCTGCGTTCCAGGCTGGATTTATCAGCAGCTGCTGGACGCCTGTTCTATCAATAGAAGAGCTGCTGGTTTTACAGCCTCAGCTCAGTTTTTACCTCCAAACCCGACCCGACCATCAGAACTCTGACCCGCTGAAGGGATTCCAATGTTTCTACAGAACGTCCCTGCAAAGCTAAAACCTGGTCAGGCAGAACCAACAGAACCTTTCAATGAATCCCATCAAACTACCCAGAGGATGACTGATAGCGCCACCTACAGCCCGGTCCTACTCAGAGAAGAACCAGCTGAACTGCATCAGACCAACATGGAACAGAACCTTATCTTTAGGTTCTAAGGAGCAGTCCTGGTTCTGGTTCATCTGATGACCTGTGAGGAATGTTGTGAAGTTCCTCATGGCGTCTCTGTAAACCGAAGCCCTGGAGGTCCAAACTTAGAGCGTTATGCTGGACGGCACAGAGGTCCACTGTGAAGCTGACCCGGCTGAGATAGAGAACAGAACCAGAACCGGTGATTGAATGCAGCTCTATAGGAGGCAGTTCAACATGAACGCCCCTCCAACACCGTCCTCTGGACCGGCCAGAACCAGTACTGTCCCTGATCCACCTCAGGAGGTTCTGATCGTCCCGTACTGTCCCGGATCCACCTCAGGGGGTTCTGATCGTCCCGTACTGTCCCGGATCCACCTCAGGGGGTTCTGATCGTCCCGTACTGTCCCGGATCCACCTCAGGGGGTTCTGATCGTCCCGTACTGTCCCGGATCCACCTCAGGGGGTTCTGATCGTCCCGTACTGTCCCTGATCCACCTCAGGGGGTTCTGATCGTCCCGTACTGTCCCGGATCCACCTCAGGGGGTTCTGATCGTCCCGTACTGTCCCGGATCCACCTCAGGGGGTTCTGATCGTCCCGTACTGTCCCGGATCCACCTCAGGGGGTTCTGATCGTCCCGTACTGTCCCGGATCCACCTCAGGGGGTTCTGATCGTCCCGTACTGTCCCGGATCCACCTCAGGGGGTTCTGATCGTCCCGTACTGTCCCGGATCCACCTCAGGGGGTTCTGATCGTCCCGTACTGTCCCGGATCCACCTCAGGGGGTTCTGATCGTCCCGTACTGTCCCGGATCCACCTCAGGGGGTTCTGATCGTCCCGTACTGTCCCGGATCCACCTCAGGGGGTTCTGATCGTCCCGTACTGTCCCGGATCCACCTCAGGGGGTTCTGATCGTCCCGTACTGTCCCGGATCCACCTCAGGGGGTTCTGATCGTCCCGTACTGTCCCGGATCCACCTCAGGGGGTTCTGATCGTCCCGTACTGTCCCGGATCCACCTCAGGGGGTTCTGATCGTCCCGTACTGTCCCGGATCCACCTCAGGGGTTTCTGATCGTCCCGTACTGTCCCGGATCCACCTCAGGGGGTTCTGATCGTTCCGTACTGTCCCGGATCCAGATGAAACATGCTGAGGATGAAATGGGACAATTCTGCTGGTCTTTACAGAACTGGACCCATCCAGCTGTTGGGCCGACCCAGCAGAAGTGAATGCAGTGAATGAAGCTTCCAGTTGGACTCAGAAGAACAGAACCGGGATCAGAGGGTGGATTGGCCTTAGATGGTTCTATCATCAGAACTAAAGAGCGGATCATGTTCTCCTGCTTCCTCTGCTCTGAGCTCGGCGCTATCGGACCGCTCCCAGAACCACAGGAACCTCTTATCAGGTGGAAATGGACCGTGAGCCTCTGGAGGCGCAGACTGTCTGAACAAAGCCAATCTCTAAGTTGTTGTGAGCAAACGGACCACAGGAAGCGGTTAGAACCGCCTGGGAACGCTGCTGGGAAACACCCAGACCGTCTGCAGAGGAAATGGCACTGGCCCCATGTGGACCGGACCGGGAGGAGGGACCAGAACCGAGTCGTCTCCCTCAGACCTTCCTGTTAAAACGACTTCATCAGTTATAAATCCTGACCTCCAACCGGACCGTGCATGTTTGGGTCGAGGTGCGGTCCAACCAAAATACAGCCCAGTGATGAGCTTCCTGCTGTGGGAGCTCCACGCTCTGACAGTGGGAGATAATCTGCTGAAGCTCAGAACATCAGAACCGGTCCTCCTCCATGAAGGAGACGAGTCAGAACCCATCCAATGAGCTGCAGGCTGAGCAGAACCGGTCCGGTTAAACCGGTCTTCCTTCTTATGTTCTGTGTGGGAACTTTTTTTCCCACAGGAATGAAACAGAGAGGAAGAAGAACCAGCGGCTGAAGAACAGCCTGGGTTCTGAAAGAACCGGACCCAAACAGAACCACAGCGACAGAGGTCCTGATTCTTCTTCATCAGGGGGTGGACTGATGAGAACCTTTAGAACTGCTGGATGGTAAACCGTCCAGCTTCATGGGTCGATCCGATCTGTTAGAGGAAGTGAAGCTGAAGCTGAGCCGGGTCGCTGGAAAACCAGGAAGTGAGTGGATGTTCTGTCAGAGCAGCATACCTGCAGTCAACACCTGTTTATCCCTTTAGATTTATAATTGTATGAAAAATAAACTTAAACTACCTCAACAGGCGTGTATCCCTTTAGTCATGAACAAATAGAAACCATTTAATGACTTTTTGGTGTTTTTTGAAGCGTATGAAGATCTGACCTTAAATGTTTTTGTACACGACTAAAGCCACACACACCTGTCGAGGTTATCTAAAGTCTATTTGTTGTACAAAACTAAAGGGATAAAAGCAAATCTGATGTCTTGCGCTGCGTATCGACCATGCTGGTCTGACAGAACAGCAGGTCAGGAAGTCAGTCTGAGGAACGGAACCTGACATACGGCATAGAATGTGAAGAAATAACAGTATTTCCTCACAACCCTGTCCTCTCTGACCACTTTCCAATAACCTTCAGGATTACTTTAACAGAGTTCTCCTCCCCCAAAAGAAGGTTCAATTTTAGTAGATCTTTATCAGATAGTGCAGTTATAAATTTTAAAGAATCTGCTTCACTTTCTCTCTCCTCTGTGTCACTGAGCAGTGCTGCAGAGTGCAAAAGCTTAGCTTATTCCCCTTCACAGGTTGATGATTTTGTTGATGGGGTTGCTAGTTCTCTGCGTATTGCCTTAGACAACGCAGCTCCTTTGAAAATGAAAACCGTTAAAAATAGAAAGCTTGCTCCTTGGTTTAATGCAGAGCTGCGTACTTTGAAGCAAAATGCTAGGAAACTGGAGAGAAAATATCGCTCCACAGGCCTGCGAGAGTCCTTCCTAGTCTGGAAAAATGGTTTACTGCTGTATAAGAGGACCCTTTGTAAAGCAAGAGCAGCATACTTCTCCTCATTAATAGAGGAGAATAAGAATAATCCTAGATTTCTTTTTAATACAGTTGCCAAACTCACCCAGAGCCATAGCTCTGTTGAACCGTCCATTCCACCTGCTCTTAGCAGCAATGATTTTATGGGATTCTTTATAAATAAGATTGATCTTATTAAAAATAAGATCATAAGCACTCCTCAATCCGCGATTGTACCTGAGGTAGTCATGGAATCTGAACCGGGTTTAGACTGCTTTGATCCAGTTGAACTCTCTGAATTAGCAAAATTATTGTCTTCATCTAAGCCTTCAACTTGTATGTTAGATCCAGTTCCAACCAGGTTATTTAAGGAGGTATTCCCTTTGATCTCCTCCTCCATTTTAGATGTGATTAATCTATCTCTGTTACAGGGATATGTACCTAAAGCTTTTAAGGTTGCTGTAATTAAACCTCTGCTTAAGAAACCGTCTCTTGACCCAGATGACTTGGTCAATTATAGACCTATATCCAATCTTCCTTTCGTATCCAAAATTCTTGAGAAAGTAGTTGCCAAACAAGTTTGCGATCACTTCCACCATAATGAACTTTTTGAAGAGTTTCAGTCTGGCTTTAGAGCTCATCATAGCACTGAAACAGCTCTGGTGAAAGTCACTAATGATATTCTCATGGCCTCAGATAATGGACTTGTATCTGTGCTCGTCCTGTTGGATCTTAGTGCTGCATTTGATACAGTTGACCATAATATTCTTTTAGAAAGACTTGAATATTTTGTTGGAATTAAAGGAACAGCACTAGACTGGTTTAAATCTTATCTATCTGATCGAATTCAGTTTGTTCATGTTAATGATAGATCTTCAACACGCTCAAAGGTTACCTGTGGAGTACCACAGGGATCAGTGCTAGGACCAATTCTCTTTACTTTATACATGCTCCCAATTGGTAGAATTATTAGACAGCATGGGATTAATTTCCACTGTTACGCTGATGATACCCAGCTATATCTGTCTATAAATCCAGATGAAGCTAACCCATTACATAGATTACAGGCATGTCTTGAAGACATAAAAACCTGGATGACTCTTAACTTTCTGCTTCTGAATGCAGACAAAACAGAAGTTATAGTCTTTGGACCAGAGTCTCTGAAAAAGAAACTGATTAGCCAGTCACTTCATTTGGATGGGATTAAACTGATTTCAGATAATAAAGTAAAAAATCTTGGTGTTATTTTTGATCAGGACCTGTCATTTAAATCCCACATCAAAGAGGTTTCTAGAATTTCCTTCTTTCATCTGAGGAACATTACAAAAATTAGAAATATCCTGTCCAGGGGTGATGCTGAGAAACTAGTCCATGCATTTGTTACTTCAAGGCTGGACTATTGTAATTCTTTACTATCAGGAAGTCCACAAACTGTAGTTAAAAGCCTTCAGCTGATCCAAAATGCTGCAGCCAGAGTTCTAATGAAAATTAAAAAGAGAGATCACATCTCTCCTATCCTGGCTTCTCTTCATTGGCTTCCTGTTAAATCAAGAATAGAATTTAAAATCCTCCTTCTCACATATAAAGCCTTAAATGGCCAAGCTCCATCTGATATCAGAGATCTGATTGTTCCTTATGTTCCTAACAGAGCACTTCGCTCTCAATCTGCAGGTTTACTAATCGTTCCTAGAATTTCTAAAAGTAGAATGGGAGGCAGATCTTTTAGTTATCAGGCTCCTCTCCTGTGGAACCAACTACCAGTTTTAGTCCGTGAGGCAGACACCCTGTCTACTTTTAAGGCTAGACTTAAAACTTTCCTTTTTGATAAAGCTTATAGTTAGGGTGGCTCAGGTTATCCTGAGCTATCTCTATAGTTATGCTGCTATAGGCTTAAGACTTTTGGAGGACATAGGGACCCCCATTTCATCATTCTGCTTCATTCTCTCTCTATTCTCCCACTCTGCAGAATCTGTTAGTTCAATCTCTAACCTTCTGCTCTCTCTGCTTTTCCTCAGAGTAGCTTTGCCTCGTCTGTTCCTGTTTGGCTGTGACGTCATCCTGGAAAGAAACATCAGCTGTGCTGCTTCTATCAACACCCTTGTTTATAGATGTTGGAGATCGGCCTGTTTTCCAGTGTGGTCCTGTTTCTCTGACAGTGACTGAGTGGATGTGCTCTCTTCATCCTCTGGCATGGGAGCTGCCTTGGAGCTCGTCTGCCTGGCTGTGTGTTTCCTGGACGGGGCCGCCTTTTACAGCTGCTTTTTGTATCTCTGCTTCTGTCTCCTTGAACCCCAGTCGGCCTCGGCAGATGGCCGCTCACACTGAGCCTGGTTCTGCTGGAGGTTTCTTCCTGTTAAAAGGGAGTTTTCCCTCTCCACTGTCGCTACAAGCATGCTTAGTGTGAGGGATTGTATTTGAGTCAATGAGTCAATGCAATCAACTGGTTTTCCTTAGATAGAAAACTTTGTATCAATTTGACTGTATGATCTGGTTGAACTGTAAAGTGCCTTGAGATGACATGTGTTGTGAATTTGGCGCTATATAAATAAACTGAATTGAATTGAACCAGAAATTAAAGCCGCGAAGAAAGGAGCGCCTGGAAATATTCCAGGAAGTAGCCTGGTCCCGTCCAAAAGGCATCAACACTGCAGGATTTAAGCTTAATCAGTTCATCAAACCCAGGCTGACCTAAAACTCTGATCAGAACCAGCGGTTCTGTTTATTCTGACTAACAAGAAAAAAAAAAAAAGACTAAACAATCAGAAACGTTTGTTTCTGGTTCGGTAAAACGGTAATTTATCACACAGAATGTTGTTTTTGTTTCAATAAACAGGTAGTTAGTACCGTTATCCTGCACCAGAACCACCGGCATATCAATCAGCGCATAACGGACCTGCAGCAGGTTCTGCTGGGAGGCCCGGGATCAGCTGGTGATCCAACAGACCACGCTACAGAACCGACGGCTAGTGGGACCTAAAAGCTGTGAACCTTCATCAGCGGTAGAAGAGCCAGAACCTGCAGCCTCACAGCGTTTCTGGGCCAAACTGGGAGCCGCCGCTGCTGCTGCTGCTGCGTTAGAGGAGCGGCGGGTTGAAGCCATCTGTCCACCAGGAACCGGGCCAGAGAGGAGGAAGAAAGCAGAGGTATAGGAAGTCAGCTGCTGCGGCGGTGGCGGCGGGGGATTAACGGGCGGGTAATCATGGTGTCCACGGAGGGATTACACCGCGCTCGCAATGCTGCAGACATCTCCTCTGGGATGAGGTGGGGGGGTGGGGGGACTGGAAGCTAAGGCAGAACCTGATCCGGGCCTGATGAAGCATGATGATCTGAGAGAACCGGACCGGACCTGAAGCAGAGCTCCTGGGAAGGTTCTACGGGTTTGGGAACATCCAGGACTCTGCTTTGCTTCATACGGCTGTGGCTCTTTACTTTAGTTTATCCAGCAGACCAACAAAGCCTTGTTTTCGTTTAGAAACATGCAAATTAAAAACGGATGAACGGGTCCACCGCTTTGGAAAAAAGAAGCATTCTGACAGGTAATGGGGCATTGCAGAGGTGGACCCGTTCGTCCGTTTCAATCTGCGTGTTTTATAAACAAGGCTTTGTTGGTCCACTTTATAAAACCTGGAACGATATTTCTGACATTTTGAATTGAAAAAGCTTCCTGGATGGAAGAGAAACGCCTTCAAACTTGGAAACAAAAGTCTAGTGGAGTGTTTTTTAGCTTTTTAGAAGTTCTGCAGCTCGTGTTGAGCAGCCGAAGCAGCGCCTCAGGAGCTTCTAGGCATTCTGATACGTGCAACGCGTTTCAGAAGCAGCAGCTGCTGAAGTTGGAAAAATGTGACTTTAGCTGCTCAACGCCCCACATCAACCAATCAGAGAAGCTGATCTGGGAGCTGGCAGGGAGACAGACGCAGCGCTGCTGATTCAGAGCGCTATGATCACTCCTCTGAAACAGTTTATGAACGTCTAAATTAACTTAAAACATAGAAACCTGCCGGCAGAATATGCTTGATTTTATTATCTTGGTGCCTGCAGTTTGAAAAGTTGAAAAATGCTAACATCTACTTCCAGTCGCCGCAAATAGTAGCGGAAAACCCCCAAGAGGCGAGCGGGCCTGAGGCAGCTGTGCACCGCCGGTATGTGGGGGTCTGAGCAGCTCCCACAGAGAAATAATCTCTGAAGGCAGGATGGTAATCTGGATGAACTGACTGATGATGTTCTCAGGAGGACTTTCTTACTTAGAAATAGATTCTAACTACTTTTTACCCGCTGATCACAGCTAATATGGCTGCCATAGTTCCAGGCAGAGAAAGGAACGGTTAGCTCCGCCCACCGCGCATCAGAACTACTGTGTCCTCCGCGCAGCCAGAGCAGCAGAGATGCTTCAGCGGCACATCATCAAACTATTACAAGCATCAGAAATAAATTCCTCCTGCTGCGTGCGGTCTGAACGTAGTGTATCAGAACCGTTTCCATGGAGACCACAGAGAGCAGCGTCACTCTCACTGGGCTCAGGGTCCGGTTGGATTAACCCTCCTAATGGAGTCTAATCCCATCCGAGTCCCATTCAGAGGTTAATCTGAGTCAGAGACACGGTGCCGCCGAGCGTACGACTCCCAGCTGCTGAGCAGAGTTCAGTCGGTCAGACTGGACCGGGCTCGGTACCAGAACAATTCCACCCAATGGAGCAGAACCATCAGAACCGACCGACCAGCAGCCTGAGGAGGACAGGACCAGAACCCAAACAGCTTCCTGGGGTCTACAGAAGCCATGCTGCTGCTTTTACACCATCACAACCCGACCCAGAGAGATTCAAGAACCAGAACAAACCGGGAAAGTCCAGAACACCTCAGTGGTTCTGGACCGGTTTAAAGTTTAAAGAGATAAAGGACGTTAAACCTTGATGGGTTCTGTCAGCTGGTCCGGTTTCCCTGCCAGTGGCATTCGAACGGATTAGAAACAGAATTATGACCCGGTACGTGTTCTTTCAGAACCAGAACCAGGGGTCCAGAACATCTGCAGGAACCAGGAGTTGGACCAACAAGGTGAAGATCAGGGTTCTGTCTGGGTTCTGAGGAGAGAACCGGTCCGGTTCTGGTACTGCTTACCTATGAGAGCCTGGAAGAGGTTGCTCTGGAAGATGTCGATGACCCGCTGGAGGGAGAGTCTCAGCTGCCGGTCCTCGGTGTGGGTCAGCTTGTTCCGGTACTCCTCCAGGAGCAGCAGGGCCCGCTGGGCGTCTGTAGAACCGGGTCGGGGGGGGGGGGGGGGGGGGAAGAGGAGATCATCAGGTGGCTGAAGCAGCTCAGCAAACAGAACCAAGCCCAACCGGGTCTGGATCAGGAACATAAACATGAACGATCAAGAGGTTCTGCAGCAGATGATGGATTAAAAAGACCAGCTGAGAACAGAACCGTCTGCTCTGACCGTAGAACCAGAACCAACCTCTGACCGTAGAACCAGAACCAACCTCTGAAATCAAACATCCTTTGCCCCGCCCCCCTGCGCTGCAGCCTCCGCCGTTCCCTGGAGCTCAGGCAGAGCAGGTGCCACTTTATTTTGATTATTGTTAAATTCATGATGGTTAAACATGCAGAAACGAACGCTTCATTTAATCTGACATCTTAAAAATCCATCAGTATCCAGTTCAGTTCTGGATAAATAGGATCATATAAAAACATTTTTTATTAACTATGTTTGTTCTCTAGTTCCAAACTCAGCATCTCTCCATCCTGTATTAAGAAGTTAGTGAGACTGGATTTAATTAAACTTTTAACCTTTGATCAGGATGAGTAATCTGCTTCCTGGTATGTTGTAGCGCCAATAGTTTGCATCCAATCATTTAATTAAACTCTGTTATTCTTTGGGAATATATAAGAAATTTCCTCCAATCTGTAGTTACAGATCCATCGTAACCAAGCTGGATCTTCTCATCGTTATTTTTCCTGTTGGGTGTGATCGCAAAGCGGACCTTAACCTGACTGGACCAGAGCGGAGCGGTGATGGAGAGAGAAGACGTGCGAAGGGGCAGCGGTGGATGTGGACCAGCTCGCATTGGTTAACATGACGTACGGGAGCGGAGGATGTGGAATCTGGGGGTCAGACTCTCATGTTAAACAGTTTTTAAATCTTCCTTCTGCTGATTCCTTTGTTTCTAAACTAGAAAATCTTAAAAACATTTTAAAATATAACTTTAATCCAGATTATTCCTTCATTATGAACCGATCTAGTTCTGATCCGGATCAGCAAAGCAAAACTCCCAAATCATCTGAAACGGTCCAAACCAGATCCCAGAGATCAGCTGGTTTTAATCCCCTAAAGACGCGTCCAACTACAGCGCCTCCAAGGACCCTGGAAGGATCCTGGAATCTGCCTGGAAGAAGGAAAGAAACGCAGTGGAGACAGAAACGCCTCCGGATTAAATAAGAGAACGAAAAGAACAGCCGAAGTTCTTAAGGTTAAGGTGATTAAAAGTTGCAGAAAATTGAACCATTTTACACTTAATTATAAATAAAATCTCTAACTATAGAGTGCAGTCATGCAAGGCTTTTATTCTGAAGGTCCTATATCCTGATATCTCAGCCGTCTCCAACCGTGCTCCTCCAGATGAGCTGTCCTGCAGGTTTTAGATGCATCCCTGCTCCAACGCTGCTGGTTTTTAACCAGACCTTTGCCAAACCTGATGGCATCAGTCCTTTAATCCCGCCGTGTTGATCAGGGATGCATCTAAAACCTGCAGGACCGTAGATCATGAAGAGACCCTGGAGAACGCTCATTTAGATTTACTTTGTTATTTCTAATTAACTCTTCAATAAATCCATTTAACTTCTGTAGATTTTGGAGCCAAACTGACTTTTTAAATGATGATTAGTTTGAGTTTCTGATGCGAGTAAATAAATGAAGATAATAAACTTCTCCCAGAATAAAAATAAGCTGGAAGAATAAAAATAAGCTGGAATATTTGGATGAATTATTTTGAGGTTTAACCCAAAAAGAAAAGCCTGAAGTCTTTTATCCTTGTGGTTTTAAGCAGCGTTTTCCTGCAGAACAGATGAAAGTGTTTCCTCTGCAGACATGCAGATCTCTGGATGCTGCTGACAGCAGCCTGCAGACACCAGCAGCTTTAGTTTTTAACAATAATAAACTACATGTTTTACTGTCCATCTGAGTTTATCTGGGAAGAGAATATTTTTAAGATTTTTTTAGTTCAGACGCTACAGGTAAGCTGATCTTTATGAGGCGGCAGAGAATATTTTATTGATATTCTGGGTTATTTTTAGTTCCTACAAGGTGCCCCAATTAGAAGTTGGTTAGCATCTGAAGCTAACAGGCTAACTTCACCTGGCCCGGTTCTGCTGGGCTCAGCAGGCCACAACTCAGTCCTGTCCAGCACATTTAGCCCGGGTCAGACCCGGGTTCTTCTTCCTGCCTGTTTCTCTGGGTTTTATTCGCCTCTAATCAGCTGCAGTTGGAGTTTTTCTCCCCAGCTGGTTAGCGCACCCAGCCCTGAAGTTAGCCTCTGACTGGTGACCATAAAGGGCTATTTCACAGTTTTTTAGACTCCTGGACCAGATTAGATGAGCTGTGGTCCAGAATCTGGACCGATCCATCTGTTCTACGGGACATAAGCAATTTATATGAAGAGAAATCATTTTATTCTGTTTGTAGAAGTAGAAAAACGTCATAAGTTTGGCGATTTGTCATTTAAATCAGCCCAGCCTAGATGAAGCTTAAATCCCAGACATGGGCTGGATTACTGGACCGATGCTTTTGTTTTATCAGAGATTAAATACAGAGAGATTTAAAGAGATGATTAAAACGCCGAGAATAATGTACAAATCTTGTTATTTCTGTGCTTTAAATCAATGCATTATAAGAAATAAAATGTATTATCGGGGAAACGAGAAGCAGTTTAGATGAATTTGGTCTTCAGCTTTAATCTGGATTAAAATCTGTTTTCAGTTTTTCTTTTAAAGCGTTTTAATAAGAGGAGAACCTGTGGATGCTGAGCTGGACCAGGTCTGAAGGAAAAGGACAAAATGTTGATCAGATCTGCCCTAAATGTTGAGGAGAACCTGAGATTCTGATCCAGATATCATTAAAACCAAACAGTAATATCATCGCCACACAGCAGGACTCTATTCATTGACCTTTGACCCCTCACAGTCATTCTGACCATTGCTTCCATCTTTTCTGCTGCTGCTTTACTTTAGAACATTAACTCTTAAGTATTAAATCTTTAATTATCTTTCCTTCTCTAACGCGTTTTCCTATTTTCTCTGAAGTCTATATTCAACTTTTATCCTAAATATTAACCTGTTAGCTTCCAACTTTAACTGAAACAGCCGGATCTCCCTGTTGATCCAGGTGTGAATATAACACGAGATATTTCTAATCTAAAATAAGATGTTAGAGATTGGTCTGTTTTCCAGTGTAGTCCTGTTTCTCTGACTGTGACTAAATGGATGTGTTCTCTTCATCCTCTGACATGGGAGCTGGCTCAGAGCTCGTCTGCCTGGCTGTGTTTCCTGGACGGGGCCGCCTGTGGAGCTGGTTGACAGTTGCCTTTTGTATCTATGCTTCTCTTGCTATGTCTGCTTCTGTCTCCTTGAACCCCAGTCGGCCTGCAGGTTTCCTCCTCTTCAAAGGGAGTTTTTCCTCTCCACTGTCGCTACAAGCATGCTTAGTGTGAGGGATTGCTGAAGAGTCAATGAGTCGATGCAATCAACTGGTTTTCCTTAGATAGAAAACTTTGAATCAATTTGACTGGATGATCTGGTGAACTGGAAAGTTGAGAAAGTTGTTGACCTGTTGTGATTTGGTACTATAGAAATAAACTGAATTGAATCATAATAAAGGCTAAATAGACTCTGTGACTCTATTGTGCTAATTAACTCCATCAGATTGTTTTCCTAAAGGGAAGAGCTGATCAATCCAGTGTGGATAAAAAGTGGGAACAGCCCTTTAATAGGAGCTACCATCCTGACACTGACTTCAGCGCCGTGTAGCCGCCTTAGCTTCCCGAGGAGAAGTGAAAGCGGCTTACCTTTCTTCCTGACGGGCATGTTCGGACTGGGCTCGGTTCGGTTCGGGGCTCAGAGCGACACATACACCCTCCTCACTGGGCAGGTTTCCACTTGTTCTCCCGCCGTAAAATCCAGTAAACCCGCTAGAAATGTTTCCACGACGACAGCAAGTTCACAGCGGACAAACTTCCGACAGATCCACCCAGCAGCGAGCCGGTCCCGGACCGGGACCCAGCCGCACAGGAGGGGGAGGGGAGCCCCGGGAGACTCCGACCCTCCCAGCTACACTTCCCCGCCTCAGAGGCTGCAGTGGCCGGGGAGCAGCGCTCAGACTGACCGCTGGAAGGAGGCTCTGCGATAAAACACACCCAGCCCTGCCCGCCGCTCCGGCTGCTGCTCCGGCTGCACAGGAGGAGACCGAGCCGCTCCGGAGCTCCGCACCTCCTTCCAGAAAACCCCGGGACAAACTTCAGAGTCCAGCCCGGAGGAGGCTCTCCTAACTCCGTCCCACCGCCTGATCCGGAACCGGCCCGATCGCTTCAGAGCCCGGAGAGGCGCAGCCTGAGAGCTGCATGCGTGGCCAACTTCCTCCTGCTTTCTCCTTCTACCTCCTCCTGCTCCTCTCCTGCAGCTTCCAGCTCTCACAAATCCCAAACTTTCCTCCAAAATGGCGTCTGGCTGAGCTGCAAACGTAAACCATGTGATTCCTGAAGCCCTCCTCCAACCTGCCGCCCAATCATCAGCTCACCTAAGGAACAGGAGGAGCAGGGGGGGAGGGAGGGAGAAGGAGGTGTAGGGGCAGGGAGGAGGAGCATGAGAGGGGAAGAGAGGAGGAGCAGGAAGGAGGAGGTGCGGGAAGGAGGAGGAGAAGAAGGAGACGGAAGGAAAGTTTGTGGTGGAAATCAAGGAGAGAGGAAGGAAGAAAAGATGGAAGAAGTGACTGAGAAGAGAGGAAAGTAAAAACAGGATGTAAGAGATGAAAGCAGGAGTCATCCAAGCATTTTAAATCACCTGATGCTCCTCCTGATGCTCCACCTGATGCTCCACCTGATGCTCCACCTGATGCTCCTCCTGATGCTCCACCCAATGCCCCACCTGATGCTCCTCCTGATGCTCCACCTGATGCTCCACCTGATGCTCCCTCTGATGCTCCACCCAATGCCCCACCCGATGCCCCACCTGATGCTCCTCCTGATGCTCCTCCCAATGCCCCACCTGATGCTCCTCCTGATGCTCCACCTGATGCTCCTCCTGATGCTCCTCCTGATGCTCCACCCAATGCCCCACCTGATGCTCCTCCTGATGCTCCACCTGATGCCCCACCTGATGCTCCACCTGATGCCCCACCTGATGCTCCTCCTGATGCTCCTCCTGATGCTCCACCTGATGCTCCTCCTGATGCTCCACCTGATGCTCCACCCAATGCCCCACCTGACCCCCCTCCTGATGCTCCTCCTGATGCTCCACCTGATGCTCCACCCAATGCCCCACCTGACCCCCCTCCTGATGCTCCACCTGATGCTCCACCTGATGCCCCACCTGATGCTCCTCCTGATGCTCCTCCTGATGCTCCACCTGATGCTCCTCCTGATGCTCCACCTGATGCTCCACCCAATGCCCCACCTGACCCCCCTCCTGATGCTCCTCCTGATGCTCCACCCAATGCCCCACCTGACCCCCCTCCTGATGCTCCACCTGATGCTCCACCCAATGCCCCACCTGACCCCCCTCCTGATGCTCCTCCTGATGCCCCACCTGATGCTCCACCTGATGCTCCACCTGATGCCCCACCTGATGCTCCTCCTGATGCTCCTCCTGATGCTCCTCCTGATGCTCCACCTGATGCCCCACCTGATGCTCCACCTGATGCCCCACCTGATGCCCCACCTGATGCTCCTCCTGATGCTCCTCCTGATGCTCCACCTGATGCTCCTCCTGATGCTCCACCTGATGCTCCTCCTGATGCTCCTCCTGATGCTCCTCCTGATGCTCCACCTGATGCTCCACCTGATGCCCCACCTGATGCCCCACCTGATGCTCCTCCTGATGCTCCTCCTGATGCTCCACCTGATGCTCCACCTGATGCTCCTCCTGATGCTCCTCCTGATGCTCCACCTGATGCTCCTCCTGATGCTCCACCTGATGCTCCACCCAATGCCCCACCTGATCCCCCTCCTGATGCTCCACCTGATGCTCCACCTGATGCCCCACCTGATGCTCCACCCGATGCCCCACCTGATCCCCCTCCTGATGCCCCACCTGATGCTCCACCTGATGCCCCACCTGACCCCCCTCCTGATGCTCCACCTGATGCCCCACCTGATGCTCCACCTGATGCCCCACCTGATGCTCCACCTGATGCCCCACCTGATGCTCCACCCAATGCCCCACCTGATCCCCCTCCTGATGCTCCACCTGATGCTCCACCTGATGCCCCTCCTGATGTCCCCCCTGAAAGCCCCCCAATGCCCACCCGATCCCCCTCCCGATGCTCCCCCTGATGCCCCCCCCTGTTTCCCCCCCTGTGCTCCACCCCGATGCTCCACCTGTGCCCCAAACCCGATGCTCCCCCCCAAAGCCCCCAAACCCGATCCCCCACTGGAAAGCCCCCCTGATTTCCCCCCAACCCCAAAGCCCCCCCTGATCCCCCACCTGTTTCCCCCCCCTGATGGTCCACCCAAAAAGCCCCACCTGTTTCCCCCCCTGAAGCCCCCCCCTGATTTCTCCCCCTGATGCCCCCTGGAAAAAACCCCCCCTTTTCCGATGCCCCCACCGATGCCCCCCACCTGATGCCCCCCTGATCCCCTCTGATGCTCCACCTGATGCTCCCACTGATGCCCCACCTGATCCCCCCCCCTGAAAGCCCCACCGATGCCCCACCCGATGCTCCAACCAAAAGCCCCCAACTGATGCTCCAAACCCGATTTCCCCACCTGATCCCCCTCCTGATTTCCCCCACCCGATTTCCCCACCTGATGCCCCCCAAACAATGGGCCCCCCTGATGCTTTCCCCCTGATGCCCCCCACTGATGCTCCACCTTTAAACCCCCCCTGTGCTCCCTGAAAGCTTTCCCCCAAATTCTCCTTTCCCAATGCCCCCCCCCCCTGAAAGCTTCCACCCGAATGCCCCACCCGGGTGCTCCACCTGATGGCCCAACCCGATGCTCCCCTGAATTTCCCCCCCTTTATGCCCCAAACCTTTATGCTCCACCCGATGCTCCCCCCTGATTTTCCCCCTCCCGGAAAGCCCCACCTGATGCTTCCCACCTGAATTTCCCCCCCTGATTTCCCCAAACCCGATGGGTCCACCCGATGCTCCCCCTGATGCCCCAAAGAAGCTCCCCCTAATGCCCCAACCCGATGCTCCCACCAATGCCCCCCCCTTTAACCCCCCCCGGGTGCTCCACCTGATGGCCCCACCTGATGCCCCCAAACCCGATGCTCACCCGATTCCCCCCCTGGAAAGCCCCCACCCGATTTCCCCCAAACCCGGAAAGCTCCACCCAATGACCCCCCCTGATTTCCCCCCCTTTATGCCCACTTTATGTCCACTATGTTTTTTCCCCTGATTCCCCCCCTGTTTTCCCCCAAACCCGATGCCCCCCCCTGATGCCCCCCACCCCAAAGCCCCACCTGACCCCCCCCTTTTATGCCCCCACCTGAAAGCTCCAAACCCGAAAGCTCCCCCTGAAATTTTCCCCCCCCGATGCTCCACCCGATTTCCCCCCCTGAAAGCTCCACCCAATGCCCCCCCTGATTCCCCCCCCCTGATGCTCCACCTTTTATGCCCCCCCTGATGCCCCCACCCAAAGCCCCACCTGATCCCCCCATGATGCCCCACCTGAAGCTCCCAAACCCCAAAGCCCACCTGATTCCCCCCCCTGATGCCCCACCTGATTGCCCCCACCCAATGCCCCACCTGAATCCCCCCCCCTGATGTCCACCTGGGGGGTTTCCCCCCAATTTCCCCACCCGGAAACCCCCTTCCCGAAAGGGTCCACCTGATGCTTTTCCCCTGATGCCCCCCCTGAAAGTCCAAACCTGAGCCCCAAAACCCGTTTCTCCCCCAATGCCCCACCTTTATCCCCCAAAATGATGCCCCCCTGATGCTCCAAACCCCAAAGCCCCACCTGACCCCCCCTGAATTGGGCCCCCCCTGATGCTCCAAACCCAAAGGCCCCACTGATCCCCCTCCCGATGCTCCCCTGAAAGCTCCACCCCAATGGGCCACCGATCCCCCTCCTGATGCTCCAAACCCGATGCCCCCACCTGATGCCCCTCCTTGGGTGCCCAACCCGTTTTCCTTTCCCCCCAAATGCCCCAAACCCGGGTCCCCCCCCTGATTTCTTTCCAAACCCGATGCCCCAAAATGATGCCCCAACCTTTATGCTCCCCTGGAATGCCCCAAACCCGATGCTCCCCCCCTGTGCCCCACCTGATGCTCCACCCCAAAGCCCCACCTGTCCCCCAACCCGATGGCCCCCTGATTTCTCCCCAACCCCAAAGCCCCCCCCCTGATCCCCCCAACCCGATGCCCCCCCCCTGATGCTCCCCCCAATGCCCCCCCTGATCCCCCCCCTTGGGTGCCCACCCGAAAGCTCCCCTGATCCCCACCTGATCCCCCTCCCGATGCTCCACCCTGATGCCCCCACCTGAATTTTCCCCACCTGATCCCCCCCCCTTTATTTTTTCCACCCCGATGCCCCACCCTGAGCTCCAACCAATGCCCCCCCTGATGCTCCACTGATGCCCCCCCTGATCCCTCCTGATTTCTAAAACCCGATGCTCCCCTGATGCCCCCCCCTTTATCCCCCTCTGATGCTCCCCCTGATGCCCCCAAACCCAAACCCCCCTGATCCCCCCCCCTGATGGGTCCCAAAACCCGATGCTTCCACCCGTTAATGGGGGGGGGGGGGGGGGGGGGGGGGGGGGGGGGGGGGGAGACCAAATTTTTAAAGGGGACACAAAAAAGGAACAAAAATTAAAATAGAATAAACACAAAATAAAAAAAGTCAAAAGTGAATCATCTGGGTCTTTTTAAAATGAAACCAAAATTGCTTTAAACCCCGCTGTAGCTAATGATTATGGATCCTGTCCATATCAAAGGGGGGTTTCCCTTTTTTTCAACCCCCGAAAGAGGGGGGCGTTCACTCCAAAAATAAAAAAAACCCTGTGAACATTTCTGCAGTTTATGCTGCTTTAGTTCACCTTGAAGCTGAAAGAGTGACGGCCCACTGGGTAGAGCAGTAAAGGTGCTTTACAGAGACAGTTCAACCAGAGGAAGAAGAGAGCACATCCAGTTAAGTCAAAAGTCAGGGGAAAAAGGGGCTACAAATGGGAAAAAAAAGGGTTTATCTCCTAAAAATAAAAAATTTGTAAATTAGACATATCTCATGTTATATTCACACCAGGATCAGGAGGGAGATTCAGCTGTGTCAGTTAAAGTTGGAACCTAACAGGTTAATATTTAGGATAATGGTTGAACAATGACGTCAGAGAAAATAGGAAAACGCGTTAGAGAAGGAAAGATAATTAAAGATTGAATACTTAAGAGTTAATGTTCTAAAGAAAAGCAGCAGCAGATCCAGAAAAGATGAGAGAAACGGTGAGAATAACTGTGAGGGGTCAAAGGTTAAATGAATGGAGTCCTCCTGTGTGGTAAAGCGATATGTTACAGTTTGGTTTTAATGATATCTGGATCAGAACTGACACGGATCTACAGAACCTCAGGTTCTCCTCAATATTTAAGGCAGATCTGAGGATCTGAGTCAGAGGATTAAGAGAACCAACAGGTCTGCAGACGACGCTGTCTCCTTGGCCCTTCACTGCATCCTCCAGCACCTAGATTCCACAGGTAGCTATGCCAGGATTCCATTTGTTTATTTCAGCTTTGCCTTCAGTACGATCATCCCAGGAGAAGCTCTCCCAGCTGAGTGTGCCTGACTCCACTTGGAGGTGGATCACAGACGTCCTGTCTGACAGGAAGCAGCAGGTGAAGCTGGGAAAACATGTCTCTACCTCACAGCTCATCATCACTGGTCCCCCCCAGGCCTGTGTTCTTTCTCCTCTGCTCTTCTCCCTGTACACCAACAGCAGCTCCTCCAGTCATCAGTCTGTCAAGCCTCTGAAGTTCATAGATGACATCACTCCCATCAGACTTACCTCTGATGGCGATGAGTCCGCCTGCAGGTGGGAGGCTGAGCATCTGGTGACCTGGAACAGGGAGAACCACCTGGAGCTAAACGTTCTAAAAACAGTGGAGATGGTTGTGGACTTCAGGAAGAACTCAACCCCAGCTATCCCCATCACCCTCTGTGACTCCACTATTGACACTGAGGAGTCTTTCCTCCTGCGATGGACTGCGACTTGTCCAGAGTGGACCCCGCCTCTCGCCCGTAGACAGCTGGAGATAGACACCAGCACCCCTCACCATCCCACTTCGGGTTGAGTGTGTCAGAAAATAGATGGATGGATGGTAAATGGTAAATGGCATGTACTTATATAGCGCCTTTATTCAAGTTAGGAGACTTGACCAAAGCGCTTTACACTACATTCATTCACGCACACACTGATGGTGGCAAGCTACATTGTAGCCACAGCTGCCCTGGGGCTCACTGACAGAAGCGATGCTGCCATACACTGGCGCCACCGGGCCCTCTGACCACCATCAGTAGACAATGCAGGTGAAGTGTCTTGCCCAAGGACACAACGACAATAAAAGTCGGAGTCGGGGCTTGAACCGTCAACCCTTCGATTTCAGGGCAAACTCCTACATCCAACGCCACTGTCGCCCTGACATGGATGGATGGATGGATGGATGGATGGATGGATGGATGGATGGATGGATGGATGGATGGATGGATGGATGGATGGATGGATGGATGGATGGATGGATGGATGGATGGATGGATGGATGGATGGATGGATGGATGGATGGATGGATGGAGTCTTTCCGCTTCCTGGGAACTATCATCTCACAGGACCTAAAGTGGGAGCTGAACATCAACTCGCTCAACAAGAAAGCCAAGCAAAGGACGTACTTCCTTTGGCAACTGAAAAAATTCCACCTGCCAAGGACAATGATGGTGCACTTTGACTCCTCCCTCACTGAGTTGATCCTCACCTTCTCCATCACCATCTGGTATGCTGATGTCACCACCAGGGGAAAGGTCAGACTGCAGCATGTCATCCTGTCTGCAGAGAAGGTGATTGGCTGCAATCTTCCCTCTCTCCAGGATGTGTACGCCTCCAGGACTCTGAGGCGTGCAGGGAAGAGTATGGCTGATCCCTCGCACCCCAGCCACAAACTATTTCAGTTTCTTCCCTCTGGCTGTCCATCAGGACCAAAACCTCACGCCACAAGAACAGTTTCTTCCCGTCCGCTACCAGCCTTATCAACAAGGCCCAGGGACCCCAGTCACACTGACACTGCCTCTCTTCAGGTTCTAGAAGCTACACCAACGTAGCATCTACAGACCTCCTGCGTTACATTAACACAGAG